CCTCTTGAAAAGGGGTCGGCGGCACCCGGGCGAAGCCCTTACAATATATATATATATTCGATTAATTTAGTACATTATTACCATCCTTCCAACCTCACATTGCTACACTCAAGGCGTTTGGACCTATTTTGTACCCCAATCTTTCTGCGTCCGATAGCTCGTCGAGTCTCTTGGTGTTGAGCGCTCCAAGGCAAAATTCCAAGCTACCCAGCACACTGCCCTCGGAATGGGTGCAAGTATTGCCCGCATTGCGCAGCACGAAGATGTCGCCCGGCATGGCATCAAACACCGTCTCTAAAGGTGCACGAGAGTCCGCACAACCCAAAATCGCGGCCAAAGGTGCTTGGCCATCGGCAACCAATGCCTTCCTCATTCCAGTGGTCACGTTGCCGGACAAAGTCTCGCCTGACAGAAATCGTTTGTTGCCCTCCTTCAAGATCTGCAAGGCTTCCTTCGGTGGCACTGAGCCATCTGCAGTGGTGCGGATGTGCAAGCCTTGCACCGAGGGCGGCAAAGGAACCTGGGAAGCCAACAATTCTGCCTGCCTTGGCGAGCGACCCATGAACTCCACGCGACCCGTCTCGAGGTGATAGATACCTTGGTCGGTCGAATCAATCAGAATCCATCAGAATCCAATAACCTCATCATGTTTTTTCTGGGCAGTCTGCCAACTGAGCTTTCAGCCTGTGGGTATGCCAACTCAATGTGTTCAACTAAATGCCTTCTAGTGCCATTGAGACATGACTTGACCTTCCAGCTTCGAATTTCATGGCTTCCGCATGCATGTTTCAGCAAGCCCATTTTCAATCTCCCAGACTCCCAGCTCAGATGTATTGAAAATAGCTTCCAACATATTCCAAGACACCACCCTGAATTTCCAGGCTGCCGCTTTTGACCAGTTGTCTCAGAGGCTCGCTGAACTGCAGCAGGAACTCCATGGAGCGGAAGACGTTCACCCGCACGGAGTGAGACACCAACTTCTCCGGCTCGACTCCAATGCCCAGCTCCTCGTGGGCCTGCTCAGCCACCCCTGAGAGTCCCATCCTTGGTGTTTTTCGAGAAGTCACCCGAAAACTGCAGATGCTCTGAATATGTGTGAATAAGGTTGTTTGAATCATACTAAGTATCATACTAAGTTGAGAAGATCTTTTTCAAAAGTAAACAATGACCAAAAAGTCTGACATGGCCTAGAATCAAAAGCCCCTCCAGTGCACTGCCTGCATTCCGCGCGGCACCTCCTTCCTTGCTTGCCAAATAAGTCTGGGTGGCACCGGCGATGGCGCCACATTTTGTGTGACCAAGCACCAGAATCAGCTTGGATCCCAACTTGCCACAGCAGAACTCCAGGCTGCCGACCATGGAACCCTCTGCGTGAGTGCATGTGTTGCCTGCGTTCCTCAACACAAACAAGTCGCCCGGCATGGCATCAAACACAGTATCGACGGGCACACGGGAATCTGCACAGCCCATGATGGCCGTGTGGGGAGCCTGTCCGTGGGTCACAAGTGCCTCGCGCATCTTCACACCGGCTTGCTTGGTCCATGGCGAACCCACGGCAAAGCGCTCATTGCCGGCTTTGAGCATGTTCAATGCTTCTTCAGCGGAGACCGGAGCGTCCGCTGCTGTGCGGACACCATGTGCACCTTTCGCTGGTGGACCATAGCCGGTGCTGCGGCCACCCGCCGATGTCATGGAAGGAGGGATGTGCAAGGTAGAGTTGAGCAGCTCTGCCTGCTGAGGAGATCGCCCCATGAACTCCACATTTCCAGAGTCCAAGTGGTAGAGGCCGCCTTGGATCTCCACCTGTCCACTGAGGACCTTCTCACGGATAGGAGCACTGTACTTCAGCAAGAAGTTGATCGTGTGGAACACGTTCACTCGCACCGCATGTGCTGCCACGGTCTCCATGCTGTCTCTCAAGGCCTGGTCGGCCACAGGAGCCAAGTCGAGCAAAAGGCCCTCAAGCGCTGAGCCGGGACCTGGGCAAAGGGCCACGGCGGCCACGGCTCTCGCTGAAACGGCGCTCTGTGCCAACATCAACTTGCAATTCGAATGCATCAAGTGCAGAGAAAAGTGAGAGGTTCTGGTTTGAGTTTGAACCCAAAAGTGAGCGGTTCTTTTGAGACACCTTGACCACCTCACCCTTTCATGTCGACAAGACACTGGTGTCCGCCCTTTTGGCCTGGATGTAGGCGTTGGTGGCGCCATAGACAGCACCGCACTTGGTGTGGCCCAGCACAAAAATCAAGCGTGCTCCCAACTTGCCCGTGCAGAACTCCAAGCTGCCCACCATGGAACCCTCAGCATGGGTGCAAGTGTTGCCAGCGTTACGCAGCACGAAGATGTCGCCTGCAAAATTCGAGACTTACTCTGTTTGCCAAGTGCCCATAGCACCGGTGGAACCACACAATTTGTGAAATTGTATGAAATTGTGATATGTGTGTGTGTGTGTCCAACCCTGGACAAAGGGTCTTACCCCACCACTTTTAC